TAACCTGTATATAAGTATCAGAGCACTTCAGTCTAAAAAGAAGCCCTTCTTCAGTGGTTATCATTCTTTGTTTTTCTAGGATTTGCCGCTGAATAGGATAAAAAGTGAAACAGAAACCGTCTTTAAAGGATCAGTTTAATTCTATAGCCCTTCTTGGTCTAAATAACACTTTTAAAGTTCTTCAGGTAATACCATTATCAGTCCACAGTGGTTCGGCATAGAGTTTGGGATAGTGCTGACCAGGGTCATTGGGTACAGACATGCAGGTTTGTGGGACAGCCCTGACACTGGCATACTTACAGAAACAGTTAGACTTTTATAACATAAATCAGAGATTATCTGTGCCCTCTGGACTTGATTTACTGAGATGCGGGTGGGGAACATATTTCAGCTAGTTATTGTACTGACTTCTTGGAACAATGGCTTAATTGGTGTGCCAGGTGACAGGTCTCTCAGAGTCAACAAGATCTCCCCATGAGACTTCTTCTGTATTTATTGGCTTGTAAATGAATGTTCAAATATATCACTTAGGTCCATTCGAATAATGAAAGCAAGGATTGACTATAATAAATAAATGCTCATAGAAGGGCACATTGAAGAAATTTGAATATTCCTAGCCTCCCCAGACCCTGCTTGGCTGGGGGAGGGCAAAGATGTGGATAATAAAAATGATTTATATTTTAATTCATTTGAGTATCTAAGGTAGGAACAATTTATAGTTTGGTTAAAGTTTAATTTTCTAATTTATGAAACAATGTCCTGAGAAGAAGACTGAAGGAAGAGTTGCTTTAATTCTTTGTTGGATCCTGAGAACACTAAGGCATCATTCTTGCCCTCAAATATGTTAAAATCTGTTTGGAGAAAGGAGACATGCAGATAAGAAATGCAGGGTTGTTTATGGTACCACAATATCAAGCACTGGTGTTAAGATAAATTGAGTGAAGAAGGAGATTTTTCTAGGCTGGTATAATTAAAAAGCAGGTAGGACTTGACTGAGTTCAGCCCTTGAAGGATGTGTAGGTTTTAATTTGGTATAGATTCGCAGGAAAGGCTTTCCATGAAAGGGTGGGAGAATTTTGATGATGAGAATATATACCATGGAATCAAGTAGCAGGGAGCCTCAGGCTGGTCAGTCCTTCCGTACCCACTCAATCCCCCAGCTTCTGTTTAGTCAACAGCCAACTCCCGTCTGTGTTTATGTGTTTATCATTTTTTTCCCCTCAAAAATCTCAAGGGACTTATTTGGCCTTTTTGCCGTTTTCATGCAACACTGTGCTCTTCTTTCCCCATCTCAATTCTATTGTAGAACAGGACACAGATTCCCTATGCCTTCCCTAGCCTGTTGTTTCCATGCACACAGTCATGTTTTTAAAAAGAGGTCATTATTGCAGTTGGGAAATAAGCGCTAACATGAAGAACAGAAAGAATCACAAAAATAATCTTAAAATGGCTGTGCAGGTTGCTATCTGATATGGATGTTCTCATGACCTGTATTCAAGGTACTGGTGTGAGGGTCTCTTCTAGTTCTCTTCTGAAGTCTGTGGTCTCTCCAGCCCCTTACTGTAGCAGACCAAGACATTGTTACTGAAGTCTTCTCGCTGGGCACCACTTCCAGGTGTGCTGTGATTCTCAGTTCTTTTTAGAACTCCCTTCCTGCCGTCTTCTAGTGTTTTCCCTTCCCGTTGTTGCCTCAGACTGCACTGGTTTTCACTTGTGGATAATAAAAATGATTTATATTTTAATTCAATTTTTTTTTTCAGCAGCTTCTCCCAGCATTCTTGGGCCCTGGAGCTTTAGCTGAGGCTGTCTGTAAGCCACAGTTGGCCTCCAAAGGTTCTCCGCTCAGACTTCATGCCATAAAACACTGACCCCAGCCCTTGCTCATTTTCTCCTTTGCAGAAAGGTCTCTTTGACATTGTATTTCAAATTACTATCTTGTTTACTTTTACTAGCATCTAAGAGACCTTGGTGTAATGAGAACTATCGTCCCATTTATTCTGTTTTACAAACTTTTTATAGCATTTTGAATGTCTTAGGCACATTCTGAGTGCTTTCAAAAGTTAACTCATTTAATCTCAGAGGGAGCCTGCCAACATTATATCAATTCCCACTGATTTAAGCCTGTAACAAACTTTCATTTCTTATGCTTCAAAGACTTTTGCCCTCATTCTATTCTTTAGTGGGTTCCTGTTTAGTTTGGGGGTACCTCTAATTATTGGATTTTTTGAAAAAGCAGTTTATGCTCTTAGTCTTTGCTTAGGTTACCAGCTTTACCTACTTTTTGTTTTTTTATTGAAACATAATTGATTGTACATATTTGTGGGGTACAGTGTTGAATATCCAAACCTGTATGCAATATGTTATGCTCAAATCAGGATAATTAGTATATTCAACATTATACAATGTAATAATTAATTTTTTGTGGCCCTTTACCAATTTCTTGCTACTCTCCCCCACTCCTGCTTCCCACCTCTGGTGGCCCCAGTTCTGTTCTCTCCTTTTGAAAGTTCAGTGAATTATTGTGGTAGTTGTATCTTTCTTTTTTTTTTAGCTCCCACTTATGAGGGAAGACACCCCTTTACCTACTTTTTTGACCAGTTCCAGTGTCAGAATCTAACATCCATAGAATATAATGATCCACTAAGAAAACAATAACATAAAAGAACTTTTTTAAAACTAGGTAAGGCTTGTGTGAAACCAGAAGTCTATTTTTCATTATTTCAAATGGAAAAAATTAAAATAAATTATAGGTTAACCAAAAATCCCTAACCAATTTACTGAAATATAACTAAATACAGTAAAATGCCTGTATGAGAGTCGCAAACCATTATATTAGGATACAAGTTGCTTAAAATTCTCTTCTTGATCATCAAAAAATTAATTTGATTTTCAACAAACAGTTGCTGTGTATGTAGCAACATATCCATGTCGGTACCAGCAATATCTTTTTTTTTTTTTTCCTTTTTGTCTTTTTTCATGTCCGGCAACGGATCGCAACCCTCAGTGTCGCACCCGTACCAGACCGGGACCAGCAACGGGATCGCAACACTCGGTGTTGCGCCCGCACCTCGCTCAGCCAGTGAGCGGGAACCGGTCTGTATGTGGGATCCGAACCCTTGGCGGGAGCGCCGCTGCACTCCCAAGCGGCGCACTGTAATAGTGCGCCACCGGGCCGGCCCGATACCAGCAATATCTAAGCAGCATGTCTCCTCTTGACATTTTCAAAACATCAACCTGAGACTGATGGTCTTTATATCGAATATGACTGGAGTCTTTTCTCATATACCATTTCGTTAAAAATAAATTTAATTTGAGGAAAGTAAATAGAATTTTTTCTATATAAACATTGCCCCCTCCCAACAAACATACATTAAGATAGAGGTACATTGTATGCAGTCTGGATTTAAAAACCAAAAGGTATTTTACCAGAAGCACATTAATCTAGGCGATATTCTATGAAATATGCTTATAATTAACTATTGTAAAATTAAAGCATAATTTAAAAGTCTAGAAAGATAATTTTTAAAAGCCAAATGTAAATGGATTTTACATATTGCATGACTTTGGGTTGATCTGTGTTATTGCTTTTCAGAGTAGAAAAAGAAATATTGACATTTGTCCGAGCTAAGATATTTGGAGAGCCTTTGAGTATGTGCATTCCCAAATGTGATTCAAGTAACTAAACTTTATCTTTTTTTTCATTTTTTTAATGGCAAAATTTTTATGACCTTATATTCTCTATATTTAACTGATTTGTTAAATTATATGTGTAAGAGCTTGAAAAAAAACCATTTAGAAGAACTTTTAAGAACATTACCTTGCTTTTCTAATCTGCTAGTCACTTTTTATAGTCTCCTGTTACCTGAGGGTGTTTTAATTTTTTAAACATATAAGTATGGTTGTTTTCTATTCTGACTAATAGATAATTGCAATAACTGAAACATTGTAGATCTGTTTCTGCTGATTCTTATTCTTGGTGGCTGTTTCCTTGTGTGTTTTAGGGTATGTGAAGTTTTTTGTTCCTTTTATTTTTGTTTTAATTTTTTCCTCTGTGATCTGCTCGTTATTTGTAAAAATTACATGTAGGGATTATTTAACACCTAGGATAAAAGTATCTTCTCCAGAGAGGAGTTATGTTTGGTCCCTTCTGCCAGATGCCTCTGGGTATTATCAGTCTGAGATCACCTCACACCAACATCAGAACTCAGGGTCTCCGGACCACTCTGGTTAGGGGAACCCAGGCTACAAATCTAGGACAGCTGGCTTGTGGCCAGTTTTCAGAAATGGGTTTGTTGTCTCTCCCTTTTCCCCATTCTGCTTAATGGCCAAGACCAACCTCTCTACCAGTCCCAAGAAGCAGGGAAGAATTATTTCTGGTTCATCTTTATACCAAGGAGTGGGGATCCCAGCTTACTGTGTGAGGGTATGTAACTTTGGTGTTCTGTTACCCCACTTCTCTTTTTTGGTTTTCTCTAGATTTTGTTGGTCTTCCTAGATTCTTACTGTCTTAAGACTTTTGTTTTTATGAAGATTTCTTTTTTTTTCCTGTTTTATCTGATATTTCTAGTTGTTTTTAATAGGAGGATTGGTTCAAATAATATAACCCATTGTTATTAGAAGTGGAAATCTTTCTTATTTGATCTTTAACAATTCTATGAAGTTTATGTGGCAGATATATGATTGAACTGCTTTAACGGATGAGGGAACTGAGGTGTAGTGATTGACTGAAGATCACACAAGTAAGTGATATGGCCTGGAAATCCTAAGAGTCTATTTTTCTTTCTACCCCAACACTGCCTTTGTGCCTTCTTCTACTGAGTGTATTCTTAGAATTTTGAATGAAGCAGGCATATGTTGAGGAGGTTTTTAAAAAATATATAACACCTTTACAAAATTATTTAGGCTATTAACTGAAATAGATTTATATTGGTGCAACTTTTTCTAGATTTTTCTAGGCATTTTAAGTGGAAAATAATAATTGCGGTCTTTTTTTCTTTCAGCTGAAGTGAGTAGTGAATATAGTATGGACAAGGTGATGGTTGAATTTGCTATAATGGATCGTCAACTAAACCATTATGTAAAGGCTGTTCAATCTGCAATAAATCATGTAAGTTTATACCACTCACCTGGTTACAATTCACTAACCTAGAAAAAGAAACACAGAATCTAAATTTTTTCTAAAACCTTAATATTTCCTTGTCCTTACTGTAGCAGCTATTAATTTCCTCTTAATTATGAAGTCTCATAGAATAGGAATCTTAAATATTTTTCCCTGCTAGGCCACCAAGGTTAATTAGCATATTAAATCTGTTTTAGATTGTCTTACATTTTTTGGTCTCAAAATTTTTAGTGTAAACCTTCTTCAATTGTGAGTAGATTTTTATAAAATGCTAAATATTGCATACAACTTGTTTTTATTGTTATATTGCTTAAGTGTGCAGGTTTAGTTACTCATTCTCTAGGTTTAACTAATATGCATCTGTTGCAAAATTCTTAGATCAGATAATATGGAAGAGTTTTAGAGCAATTTTAGAAATAAAGAAGGTTGGCATTTTGATTTTTCCAGAAGCCAAACCTATCTTTGTTGACTCCAGCTGTCACAGGAACAGCACATAAGACAGTTAAGGCGGGAACATAGCAACATCCTTTTCAGTAGTACTGTATTGAGTAAGAAATGAGCAATGTGATTGCAGTAATGTTTCTGGGAAGTCCTTTGTCCTCTGATCAGCAGAAACTCCCTGCTGAACTGATTTCATATACCTGTGTAATAGGGTGTCTTGTACTTCTGGTTTCTTTATTTGCCTTTTCTTACTAACAGCTATGGGAAAATTCCAAAAATCAAATATTTTACAAGATTGGCTACTATTCAGTGGAAGATAAATTTTTAAATACTGTTTAATACTTAAGCCAATGAAATGAACATTATATAGTGATATGAAAGTTTTTTGTCTTTTTTTTAATGGCTAGTATTAAGTGTAGTGTTTGTGACTGACTATAAGAATGTCTGCATATATCTAAGTAATAAACTCCTTCAGCTTATGAAATTCTGTTTCTGGCCTTTTTGGTTTTTAGTCCTGGTCTTGTGGATATTTCTTCCATAGGAAAATATAAAAATGACATCATGTTGACATAATATTTAAAGCTGGATAACAAAGCACTTAGACCAGAGGTTTTCAATTCTAGCTGTACCCTAGGATCAGCCAGTTCCTACTCTCAGAGATTCTGATTTCATTGGTCTGGAGCAAGATTAGGCACCAGTATTTTTTAGAAACTCATTGTAATATGTATCCAAGATTGAAAACCACTGACTTCGAAGAACAAGGCTGACTTTATAGAATAAAATAAAGCGTGTCTGCCACCAGACATCAAAGTTAGGCCTATTATATGGATCAATGTTGCTTTTACCCTTATATTCTATGGAGACTATTTGATAGGCCTTTCTATCATTAACTTTCGTACTGTTCAAATGTAACAGCACAGTGTAAATTAAAGATAATGAGACTATGGAGTCAAAGTACTTAGTGTTGATTTTTTTCTGTTAGTCCCTAAGATTCACTAAAATGCTTAAATTCACTAAAAATACTTAAGGTAGTGAATTTTAAGGTAAATTCACTAAAAATGCTTAAGGTATTTTTACATCAAGAATTGAACTCTTCTCCCTTCAAGAAACTGAGTCACTCATTAAAAAAAGTTAAACACAAGGAAATCCTCACCCTCACCCACCTTAAGTAGTTAGCAGCATTTCTTTCTTCTTGAGGTCTCATTCCATTACGCTCACTCCACTAAACAGGGAAGATTATGCTCTGAGTTTAATCTCACTTTTCAGCCCTAATCTCACATTAGACTGTGGAGCAACTTGCAAATTCAGTGATTCTAATGCTTGTCAGGAAGGTTCCTGGTCTTTCATAGGTGGAGAAAACATGTTTATTTTTCTTTTATGATGCAAAGTTATACTCTCTGTGCACGCTTGATGCAAGACCCAGAATAGTAAATCATAGTTCTATAAGGTTTCTAAGACCTGAAATTATATTGGAACATAATGGGGATATGACCATTATTTTGAGAGAAATGTTTTACATCACTTTACACTCTTGAAGTTATGGACATGGCTATCTTATTGCTTATTTTGGTTGGGGATAGAAAAATGAAAAGCAGCTTGGGAGGGGTAAAGATGGTTCAGTTCTTTAGAAACTGTGGTTGTCTAAGGGTCAGAAGCCCTTTTAGCCCTAGTTCTTCCACTTTCTCAGTTATGATCCTTGGACAAGACACTCAACCTCTTGGAAACTCATGTTTTTCATCTATAAAATTCTTGGCCTTCCTGTTTCACAAGATTTTTATGTGAACCAGATTAGATACTGTATATCAAAACACATTGGCATTCATAAAATTTGATGGAATTATAAGGTATTATATTATTGCAAACCTAGATTTCCAAATACAACTCCTTAGAAAGTAGAACAAAACCTTTCTAAAAAATATGTACTTTGTTGTGCTCACTTTATTTCAAGGTACTTTTATTGGCTTTGACCTGTCCTACTCTGTAATTCAAAAATCGTACAGGATTAGGTATAAGCTACATGAGTTACAATATTAGGTGTTCATGGTGTCCAAAATGAAGAAATTGTTTTAAGTCAGATTATTAAGAAAACAGATAATGAGAACATGTGTTAGTCCCATTTAACCTTCTGCTCTCTCAGACTTTTGAAAGCTGCAGTGCTTCTTTTAATGTATCATTTGCCCAGATTCTGATCCAACCCGTGGTTTTCGTTTATGAATTTTCACATAGTCATAGAAAGTTTTAAAAAATGTTTTTTAATCATCAAAGAGCATTCAAGTTTATTATTTAAATAAAATCTCTTTCCCACTTCGCTTTCACAGACTTCTGAAGGTTATGCACCTCTGAAAAGGTTTTGGAAGTTTACTTTGGAACCCTAGAGGTGTGGGTCAGTTTACCAACAGTCCCTGGGAAGTCCCTTTGGCAGTTAGCAGAAATTCTCAGATTGCCTTCCTTTGTCCTTTAAGAAAATACGGCTTCTATATTTCACAATGCCTGAAGATTTTATTTGGAATCAGTGTTTATTTTAGTGCCCTGAAACTTTAAAAAAAAAAAAAAAATTAGGTCTTTATTCTAGTAGTTTGTAGAGGGAATATTATGCACTAAAAAAATTTCCAGATGGTCTCTAAGCCATTTATGAAAACTTTCAGGATAAATGGGTTTTATACCTGTCACAACTCTTTAAAAACTTAATATAGAACCACAGAGAGTTCTATATGAACTTTTCGGAGACTTTTAGTCATAAAATCACACATGTGTTGAAAGAGTTTTGAAAACTGTAAAATGGTACACAGATACATAGTACAGTCACTTCTTTTATCAGTGTTACTGCCAGAGGAAAACTGTTTTCTCATTTTTGTGCTGAGATCAGAGTGATGTTTGAACATTAAACTTCTGATGACCTGATGTTCCTTTCCTTGCTTTCTAAGCTTTTATTATTTTAGTACATTGAAGGGACACCATTGGCTGGCTTTTTGTTCTCAAATGTTCATTGGATAAACATTTACTAAACACTCATGTGCCAACCACTTCTAAGTGAAAGAAATAGGACATCAATCAGTGAGGCTTACATGACCTTCACCTTCAGGATGTTCGAAGTCTAGTACAGGAGACAAACATCTAACAAAAAGCAGTACAGATGTTATTTAATTATTGTTGTGTGCTACAAAGGGAAAATAAAACATTCAGAGAGTTAAGAACTCAAGGGGCATAATATGTAATGGGGAGATGGTTGGGAGACTCCTTCCTGAGGAAGTGATATTTAAGATGAAAGGCAAATGTGCTTCAACATGTGGAATGTGCTAGGAAACTTCTCTATGTGACTTTCGCATGAAATGGAATCATCTTATTTCTGATTGTCTTGATGTCAGAGTTTCAGAGTTCCTTCAATCCAAAGACTTAATTTGAGAAAATAAGGCCAGAGAAGGCCTACCTTTATATACAGAAAGTTAAAGTATATAGGGTAGTTGAGTAACCTACCTAAGGTTGGTCAGTGATTCATTCATTAATAGATTCTTGAGTTCCTACTATGTGCCAGGAACTGTGCTTAGTAGGGCAAGTAATGGCAGTAATTGACTTAAGGATAATTTCATCACTGATATTCTGCTTCTCAAGTAGGGGTTCTCCTCTTGAAATGAGTAAACCCAATGGTAGTACTGTGTGTTTATGATTATTTTAAACTAAACCCATAGTCTGATCCCTTAGGCTTCAGATTCCCAATGGAGGGCTTAGAGGGTGGACACCAGTTTAATTCAAGGAATCCTCAGTCCATTTTCAGGTATGTGTTGTTTTCAAATAGAGATGATAAAAAGTCCAACCACTATCATTGGGGTAGTACTTGCAATTTTTGTATAACGTTAATTCTCATAGTGAAAAATGATATGAGCCATGAGGCTAAATGATAAGTGGCCTAACAGTTTCAGATTGGTGTCACATATTATTAACAGTTGATAATGAAATATACATCCTCTCTTATTTTTAGTGAGCAATACTTGTATAGTCCTAGACTGCAGCAAAAATAACTAAAGCTTGAGATTTACTTTATATTTTGGCATATATATTTTTTATCATGATTCTTAATTGTGTAGTTTAACAAATTTTAAATCTTAAAAGAATTGTCAGACTTTACCTGTATTGTTCTTTAGTATGTGCTGCTTTAGCATATTGATTTATTGGAAAATCCAGAGCATGTGTGTTTTCTTCACTTTTCCTCTAACATTCTCTTTGTGATACTTGCATTTTATAGATTATGTAAAATTTTATAGCATTTAAATTGGATTGCAGCCATGTATTTGTTTTTGCTTTTTAAGTCGGGGTTTTATAACAATTCTTACCAAAAGCCTGGGGAAGGAGAATATTTTTCTTCTTAAACAGAGCATTTAGGTGCTAGATTGGTCCATTTGTGTGGTTTCTTATAAATCTGCTCATGGATATGCCCTGTGTACTGTGGTGGGTTTGGTGGGGGGGCGGGGGCAGCTGGCCAGTACAGGAATCCAAACCCTTGACCTTGGTATTACTTTACCAAGCTCTAACCAACTATGTTATGTTTTTTA